GTAAGTACCTTAACACATCGCTATGAGTGTTATGCTAATTTGGCTCCAAATAGTATGAAGCGGGTACCTAGCATTCTTGTCATGCTAAACCTCTTCATATATAAAGCCAGTCTGGAAATAGTCAACAAGTTTCTCCAAACGGATTGAAATAAAGAACAAATAATTGCAAGTAGTGGCAGCTTCTAAAAGAACAGGATGACTCAGACAAAAGTAAACGCATGTTTTTCCTATCACTGGCTAGCATATTTGTTGCATAATCGTAACTGCGGTAGATACATACACCATCAGCGACAGCAGTAGTAATCAGTGATCCCTTATCAAGACTTACCAACATATTTGTCTTTGAATTCACCTAATTCTGAGCTTTGCGCCAGAGGCGGCCCACGTTGACTTAAAATGGGAAGGGACTCCTCCGCGGGAAAACGGGGGGCAGGTTGGGTCATCCTTTTCGGCCGAGCCCCCAACCGATTTTAAGGAGTAAACTCCGGCTGTCATCCCATAAGTCATACAGCTTCACGGCCAAGAAGAATATTATCGTCATGTTCAGACCTAGCATCCATGAGCGTGATCCCAAACACAGAGAGGACGCCAACGGACTTCCATTTAATGTTTATGGCTTGGGACCTCCGCGCAGAGCTGCAGTGGTGTATCAGAGCGTTTAAACGGGATTTCTCCGCCCGCAGCTGGTGCCTGCCGCTGCGTTACAAACAACAGCCAGTAACGGTTTCAGCGGTGTCCAGGGCCGGCACCACCAGGGGGACGGAGGACGCGTCCGCTCTATCATAGAATAGAGGGGGATAGTTCTCCCCTATCCTAACAAACTCCTTGCTGGAGGAAACATGTTCTTCGAAAAGGTGTTCAATACGGGGACCTTGTTTCCAATTTTATCATACCGGGTGTGTAAAGGTGCTCAATACGGGGACCTTATTTCCAATTTTAGCATACTGGGTGTGTAAAGATGTTCAATACGGGGACCTTATTTCCAATTTCATCACACAAGAGTCCCCTCACATCGGCAGGAGAGCATTGTTACGAATGCTAGTACGATGCTAAATGGACTCCAGAAGGCCGCTCGACGATGTTCCCCTGCACTTACTGAGCACATTCAATGTCTTCCGTGCCTAGAGTTTAAAGCCGGCTTAGGAGGGGATCGGAGCATCACGTGCTTGCAAAATTTGCACATCAAACATTTTTGAAGAGGAGGTGAAAAATGATATCAACTTGCAGCATACCTGCTGCGATGCAATATCCTTAATTCCCCACGTACCACCGCTGTTCTTGTACGCTTTCGTCAATAGATAATGGGCCGTCAAAACTTCCAGTGTCGTTTTTTGTTTGTTTTTGTAGCAGCTGTAGAATGCAAATAGATACGGCTCAGCAATGCTGCGTATCTACTCTGTTCATTGCGCACCTTGAACCGGTTTGAAGGCATAAAAGCCTTGTGTGGTAGCGTTATTTCATCATATTCTCTTGATCCATTACCGTACTTAAGTGACAATGC